TACCTTAATACAAATGTGTTAAAAAGAAATACATTTCTTAAAAACTGAATCACAGTTTAAGATAACAGAGTGCTTGTTTCTTTTTTTTAAGGAATTGTATACTTATTTTACTAAAGAGGTTGAGAGAGCAAATTTACTTGCATGTAAATCTTAGCTTTAGTCTAAGAGATACATGATTTGTTTCATGTCTCCATAAACTTAAAATTTCAAGAAACTAAAACTCTGTAATCACTCAAAGGGATATTCCGACTGCTTAAAATGTGTTAATACTGCACAGGAAGTCCTTTTAATGAGAATTAAACTCAGGAACTTATAAACTCTAATCATCAATTTCGTATTTTAAATATTTTTTAAAAAGGAAAACTATTTTATCTTACATGTTATAAATTTGTTGTACTCTTTGAATAACTGTTTAAATGTTCTAAGTATTTTTAAGATTTGAAAATTAAAAATCAATAAAATTGGGAAAAGAAAAGATCTCTTAACATAGTGATAAACTACCTCATATTCTTAAATCTCATCTTAAAATTTTCTTATACAAATTTTTCTTACTGTTTTTTTTTTTTTAGGATTAGCAATCTTTATACCTCCTTCTTCCACAATGCTTCCATAATACCAAGCAAATAATTTGAAAAAGCAGAAAATACTTAAGTACTAATGAGATGATCTGACACAATTTTAGTACCATACTTTGCTAGTTGAAATTAAAAGTACTACTAAAAGTTATCTGAATAAAATATAATTTCATGTTTTAAAAATTGTTAAATGACTACTAATAAAATATTTTAAATAATAGATTGTGTGAATTGTTTACTACCTTAGCCCCCTTCTAAAGGAAAATTAAACATAAAACTGTATTTCCTCAGTAATTTTTTCTCTTCTGGTTATTAAGAAACAAACTCTATAACAAAAGTTTAAAGAAACATTTAACCAAATGAGTGAACATTTATTAAATAAAGCACAGTATTTTTAAAACCTCATGGTGTATTTTATTTTACATAGTCAAAAACATCTCAAAATACCTAACCAGATAATTTAATTAATCTCATAGGAAATTAAGTATATTAAAAATCATTAAACCATGATGATGTAATTTCATGTATAGACCAAACTGAACATATTACTTTGTGCTAGATCTTATTTCTTCTTTTTGTAGTTTTATTAGAACTCAAACTAGGACTTAAAATCCCTTCCTCTGAGAAATCTTTACCTAAAAGTAATCAAGTCCTAATACACACTTTCACTAATTTAAGGAGGTAAGATGGAAAACATGAACTTTCTTGCAACTGTGATATTCTATATCTTGTATAGTAACACAAAAGTAGCAACAAAGACATTAACAATTGCAGTTCAAGCTGGGAGTGACTGTTCTGTTTCAATTCAATGACACCACTAATGGCTTCTTAGCAGCTCCATGAAATCAACCAGCTGTCAAGTTGATGCATCAGAAGGAACAGTTATGCACTCCCATAAGAAAAAACAACACATCAGGATGTTTGGCAAAACATCTGCTCCTTTACACTGCAGTTCTATAATAAACATGCAAACAAAGAAATGGGAGAAAGGGCAACAGAATTAAAAATTCCAAGGTCTCCATTACAGTCTTATATGCATTTTAAATGAAAGGCTTATAAAAATAAAAACTAATTTCTGCCAAGTTGAATTGTTTATTATTCCAAATTTTTTGAAAAAGTTAAATATAATTAAATACCCTAATTCTTTTAGAAAGAGAAAAGCTACATAAAAATCTTTACATTTTAAAAAATTAAGAGTAAACTGTATTCATCAAGTAAATTGACTCGATGGCAGTTAGTTTTTTAATATTAAGTACAAGGCTCAAAATTTAATACTAAAATATAACCTTCAATCATTTAATATGTATTTAGAAATTGATGCCAACAGTATACTAATGAATGTATTTCCAAGAGTGAATTTTCTGTAAATATTTTTAATTACCATTTGAAAGTAAATGTGGCTGTAACTCACTACCAGCTTAACACACAAGAACAGTAAAGATATTCTCTGATTTTAAAATATGTACCTGCTCCTACTTCTCCCCAAACCAGTATATGAATGCAACAATATTAAGTTTTTATAAATAACTTCCTGCTTTTAAAGTAATACAACTTCATTTCCTTAAAAAAATAAAAAACAAAACTTATTATCCTAGGGTTAAAATAATTTTGCGTCCAACCACTCAGACATTTGAAAAATCTTACCTCTTTTCCTATCGGAAACATAGAAGTGCCTCAATGTTATCTGAATTATTGATTATGCAGCACTGTGACAATAATATGTAGAGTGTTTACAATAGATGTGAGACATCAAATGTACTTAAACTACCATTTTCTTAAACTGCATATCCTCTGTTGCTTGCCATTTATAATCTGCCAAATCTTCTAGTCCTTTGTTGCATGTATAATTTAGAACCATCTGTTCTATGTGCTTTTAACTATTTAAACATTTTTCATCTACCTACAATTCACATAAATGGCAGACATTCAATTCAGTCAACCTTTCTATATAGCATTTCACATAAAGCAAATTCCTGGATAAATAGCAGATAAAACCAAAGAAAGCTACAACAGAGATAAAAACATACAGCACATACAGCATAACTGTTTATGTGATAGACCTTTTCAATGCATTCAGAATTGTTTCTATTAGCTTTTTTGAGTTAATTGTAATCAATGTTTTTCTCCAACCCAGAAGACAAAGAGAATGCAAATTTAATACAGACAGTTTCATGTCCTTGTTAGAAGAGATGTAAATATGCTGACTAAAAATGACTACAAGAGACAGAATTTCCCTTTTCCATTCAATTTCCATTGCCTCTTATTTATATACTAGCCCATGTAGCATTAAGTTTGGTCATGTGACCAGTCGAACTTTTGTGAGATGGAAAACTATTTTAGAGAGGCAAATTAAAACAACACTAGTTTCTACTGTTTGTCTTTTCATAATGGCCAACATAAAGCTCATGGCCATAGCCTATAAAATATCTTTTAAAATCAATCCTATCTTTTAAATACTAGCAACATTTCTGCCAAGTTTTTGTCTTCATAGCTCCTACTAAATTTTAAATATATCTAGTATCTTCAGGTATTTTCAAGTTAATCATTTAAATAAAATCAGTTACATCTTTTCAAAATGTAAAATATGTAAAAAAAAAAAAAATTTAATTACAAAATGGGAGCCAGACAATCTAAAATAAATACACATAAAATTGAACAAAGTTGATTAAAGAAAAATCCACAATGAAGAGTACAGCAAAAAAGAGAATATGCTGATTAAAAATAATATTTAAAACCTTTAAAGAATAAAAAGAAAATACAGAAAGAAGCTAGGTGAATATTAAGTGCCACTATGAAAGTTTATACCATTTCTTGCACATAATTTTCCACCTGTTACCAAAACATAAAATGCAGAGATTATAAGGGTTCATTTTGAGAGAAGAGAGAAGAATACACAAATAAGCAACACAATTTATCGTTAACCTCTAAGGCACTGAATCCTTTAAAACAGTGTAAACGATCAAAAAAATTACTCTAGGGAAAATTTCTCTGTAAAGTTTACATGACGTCACTGGCCCCTTAACATTCCTTAAAACTTTGAGTCATATGCAGACACACTTTTTGCCTTTCCAAGGCGTCTTTCCCTTCCTCAAAAATAAGAGAGAGAGACTTGGGAATAAAAATTGCCCAAGATGGCGAAACGCTTGTTGTTTAGAGGACAGGGGGGAAAAATGGAGGATATTGTAATATACACAAAGGGATAAATTTCAACAACTCGGCCAAGGACTGCAGCTGCTTCTGTCTTTATAAGGAAGCAACACACAAAAGATAAATACAGAGGGCGAGAGAAAAGCAGTGAAAAATCTCCAATCAGCAGGGCCAGCTCTGATTCTTGAAACACTTGTTTTCCAAAATCTCAATCCTGGGGTTCGTGGAACTACTTTAAGGGGCGGGAAGCCAGGAATAGAAAAAAGGGGTGTGTGCGTGGAGGGGGGGGGAGGGGGCGAGCGACAAGAAGATTAAAGAACAGGAAAGCCGAAGAGTTGTGAGCTGGCGGTTTTTCCCAGTGAACTATTACTAGGAGATGAGAGACCGATTCACAGACATTACTGAAGGAAAAGCACTGCTCCTCTAACCTTCTGCGTACTGACACACATCTTTCCAGGTACCCACATCTTTCCCCAGTCCCACCTGGCCACCCACCTCAGCTCATTTTCTCTCAACTCTAGAGCTCCAATCTACACAGAGAGCAAGAGGCCCGAACTGGGGAGAGGGAAAAGGGGTTGGCAGGCGCAGCTAACTAGTCCAGCAGGCAAGAGGGGGCGGAGGCAAAACAGGGCAGCAGTAGGCGGATGGGGGGGGTATTTTGAAACTACCCTGGCGGGGGGTGGGGTGGGTGCGGATATTCTGGGTTAGGAACAGCGATCACAATAGTGCCAAAGGTGGTTTTTCAAGAAGCAAAACAGTTGGCGGAGATCTGAGCACTAGAGGCCGAAGAAGAGGAAGGAGACGCGAAGCCGGGGCAGCCGGCACAAAGGAGGCGGACTCGCGGCAGCAGCGCCTGCCCGGGCCAGGGAAGGCGCGGCGGCGACAGCCAGGCTGGGGAAGCACAGCTCGGCCCTACTAGACCGAAGTCCCGCACTAGCAGAGCTAGGAATAAAGTTTACATTCTCCTGAGACCGCACCCCCCCACCTCCCACCCAGGACCGCACATCTTCACGTCCTCCTCCCCCAAACTCCAGTTGGGACCTTGAGAACCACCCCAGCCTTCCAACCAGCACAACAAAGAGACACACCGACCAGCGAGCGTAAACAGCGGCGGCAGGGCGAGCAGGGCAGGCAGGGCGAGCGCTGCTAGATAAGCAACTCCGGAGTCTCCCTGTTCGCAAGAGCGTAGTTTCTCCTTTTCTGTTTCAACCGACTGTTACAACATTTGGAATTTTCATCTTTACCCGCACCCCTAACACCCAAGGATTTTTAACTCACCTTTACTTTCGAACTGAGAGTTGCGGTGGATGGGGTTTTTGCCTCCCCCAGATCGCTGAAGGTTACGATTTTTTTTTTGGAAACCCCACCACCTCCTTATTTCTATTATTATTTCTGCAAGAAAAGTATAAAGAGAGTTGGCGTGGAGGTAAAATTTGTGATCGGGAACGCCTTTGACTCCCTCCTTCTCCGTCTTCCGCCTCTCTCTGATTAGTTCCTATCCAGCAGCAGATTGAAGCAGGAGATGATTCTTCTCAAGGTTTGTTCAGCAGCTTCACTTCTATGCGAAGGCTTCATGAACCAAGTGACGTCAACCAACAAGGCTTCTCTCTCTCTCCTCTCTCTAACAATGAAAGTTGCTGTTAACAAGGGAAAAAAGAGAATTGTTTATACCATTTCAGTTCCAATAATAAATGACCTATTAGCTCCTAAAGGAGCCAAGGGAGGGGGCTGCTTCTTCCTTCCAAGGATACTGTAAGCTTTGAGTTAGCACTGTTCATTACCCCAGGAAAAAGTTTAAAAAAAAAAAAAAAAGTTAAATGTTTTGTTTTGATTTTAAAGGAAGAGAAGGCAGAAAACAGGATTGAAATTTTTTTTAAAAAGTTCAACTGGGGAATAGGGAGCATATATGGGTTAACCACCCTCACCTAAACTTTCGCGCCTGTAAACTAAGAATTTGGTGGAAGTCTATATGCCAGACTAAATTAATATGCCGAGAATTCATGGATACTGGAAACTCAAAGTGAAATTAAAATCAGGACGCAAGATGGTCTCAAGATAGTACGCTACTACTCCCCTTCCACGGGCAAATTAAACTGCCTGTAATGTTTATGAACTCAGTTAAAACTCAAAAAAATGAATAAATAAACGAAAGCCGGTAAAAAATAATGAATAGTTTTTAATTTGTATGTAAAAACTTCAAAAAATAATCTTGATAGGGCCCGCCCCCCTCCCAATTTCGGAGGGGTTAAAGAAAATAAAAAGCTAATTGTAGGCATTGAACACTTTTAAAACCAAGTTAGGACGAGTAGGTCATTCTTCATCTTTAAGCGACACACGCGGTACGCTATTTTTCTACCCCCAGAACCTCTTCCAACTTTCTCACTTTTACCCTTCCAAGTTTTTTTCACCCAGTTCTCACCTCCAACCAATCAAGTTAAACTAAAGGTAACTACAACACCCCATTCACTCCTGCACCATTTCCCCAAGAACAGCCTCCTAAAAATTAAATATGAAAAAAAATTAAGATTTAACCTTGGGAAAACTTTATCACCCAAGAAGATACACTGTTTAAAAAATAATTTCATTGAGGCAGTGTTTTTCCCCTACACATTAAACTCAAAGTTCATATAATTAAAAATTGTATAATTTAATTTTCATGATGAAGATCAATGAAAATTAAGCTAAAGGAGAAAACTTGACGATATAAATATATTTTATACATTTATATGTGGATAAATGTATCTTAAAAGATGCTATTGTTTTATGTTTCCTCTTCAGCCACTGGCTGTGATTTTAATTGTGCTGGAGGATCTTCATTAGTATTAACACATGGGGAGATTTCACAAAGCTGCTTCATTAGGGGGGAAAAAAAAGCTTGGCAGACTAGGTCTTTTTGCATGCACTGAGAATGTCAGCCTTACCTCGGTCATTTGTAACATAATAAGTGCAAGTACAATGATTGCAATGCAGGAGCACTGGGGGAAGGGCAGAAATACTGCCTGTCTAATAGGGATATCTGAAAAGAAGGCTGCTCATTACATAGTAAAATGTATGCTAAAAATTAGTGAAGATGATGTCTCAGGAGACTGATGCTAAATAAATTAATCTGCTGATATGTTTTTAATTATTATTTTTGTAGTAGTTTATTTCATTCTCAGGATTCACATTGAGCAGCAAAGCTGTGCTAGCACTTATTGATTTTTTTTCCCTGCCACATTCCCGGAATACAGATTTTAATCATTTCACTACACCACACTCAGTAATTTCATTAAAAACTGGAACCTTCCATCCCCAGAAAAGCATTTAATTTCAATGACATACAATTTCTCTCTTAGCAGCAAACTGTCTCCACAGTAAAAGCTGGCCTAAGGTTCAAATGCATAATTTAATCTTGAGTTTTCCATGCTTTGCATTCCTTTGAAGCTATAATTTGAGTAACTACCTAATAACTGTAATAATGACAATAATTTCTTTATAATATATTATTAACTCATATTTAATTAACTCAGAGGCCAAGCTCTGTACATGTATGACTGGGTCAACAGTTCTGCAATCTCAAAATTTACTAAAATGTTCCAGAAGAAAAATATAGATTAAAGTTTAAGTGTGAATGCTAACATTTAGTTATTCTATTAAACTAATATGCAAAAAAAGTTAGTGCCTTTTTCTATATGATGGTCACTTCAAAATAAACAGTATTTTAAAACATTTGGAAATAAACTGAAATTAACTGGTATTTTTATAGGCAAATAAAGTAAAATATTAATAAACAATTCATTACTGATACTTTGCTAATGATTTGTTGAATGAAAATGTTTATTTTGAAAGGAATAAGACAAAAAGGCTGGACTTAAGTTGTCTCATTCATAAATAATTCTCTTAAAACATACTTCTCTTGATAAAGTTAATTGGTACATTTTAGTTTGAGTAATTAAGAATATATTTTTTACTTAACTATTGTAAACAATGTATTATAAAGCATGGTATGATTTTGGTTCCAGTAATATTAGTTTAGAAAATGGCACAAATAAAGATATGTAATTTACATTGCCTGATATTTAGAGAAGAAACTTAAGGGGAAGACACTGACAGAATAAAATTCATTTATTAGTTTAGACTGCAGAAATATGCCTAAACAAAAGGAAAAAACAAGTAGAACATATTTAATGAAAGTGATTATTTAAAAAAAAAACTCATATTAAAAATCCATTATCATTCTTCCAGAGTGATTTTAGAAATGTTCCAAAGTTGTATACATGTAATTTCAAGTTGAAGCCACATACAACATGTTTTCATTTCCCTGATTTTATGATGTAACAAAAAAGGGCCTAATGACTTCAAAATGTTGGAATATGAGATTAAAATAGTGATAATGAAGATTTTAGTGATAATGAAGATTTTTAAATACATTTTTAAAGAAAATCATGACGGTTGCTGAGGGGAAATAGTTTTGTGACATGGATTTCTTTATTTCAATAAAAACAATAACAAAAAGCTTTACTTTTTATATTAAAATATATCTTTAAAATAATTTTAGATTATTTGGTAATTCAAATATATTAATTATCCAATGTACTCTACACATTTAAAGTGATTTTTAAAAAATAATTGTATATCATAATTTTTAAACTTGCTTACTCCAAGTATTTGATACTTTGTTACTAGAGAGAATTTGTGCTCAAATTATTTTGTAATATGACTCCCTTTTTTCCATGGTATCACATTTGATCATTTTAGAGAATATAACATGGAGTTGGTTCAAGGTGGAAGAAAACAAAATAATTATTAAAGTTATAAAGTAATTTGAATCACATACTTAGTGTTCTATTCAAGATCATCATCTAAATTAGTATATCATCATGTATGGAATTATGAAAGAATAATCAAGCAAAACTTTTCCAATTTCACTCATAATTTTAAAACTCTATATATGATAAATACCAATCCAACAAACTAATTATGCCACTAACATGGACTAAATGATTATGGTCTCTTCTATAATACAGCATCTCTTTTGAGAATTTTTTAAACAGGTAGGCAGATATAAAGATAAATGATGGAGAGATATCTAATTTACTACCTATGAGTATTGTACAGGGTTCCTTAAAGAATAAGGAATTCCTGTGTACAGAGAACAAAGTCTAGGAAGGCTAACTACAAAAAAACAAAAGATCTCAATAGAAGAACAAGCTAGCCACTGTCAAGTCTTGTTTCTGTTTCAGTCAGGGCAGACTAATGAAGCTTTGTTTGTTTCTACTCATTGAATAAACATAGGAGTGCTTGCTATATGTTATGCACTATGCTAGAGGTTGGAGTAACATGAAAAGTTCACTTTCTGGTCGATATTGAAAGTGTGAAATTCCTGAAAGATTAGAAGACTCATACAAATCATATTATAAAGATAAAAATAATAAAATTACATGAGAATAAAGAAGATGAAACAACAAATTCTGACTAGACTAAAAAAGGCTTTATCAGAGAGATGAACTTTATCTCAAAAACTGAGTAATTACCAGGCCAAGAAGTGAGGGAGAAGGACTTTTAAGTGAATAAAACCATAATCATAAATACAGAGTTCCTAGGTCTGGCTGGTATCCATTCACTAGTAAGAAATGCAGTGTTACAGGAATATGCAATGTGAGGTTTGGAATGAGAAAGATAAAGTCCAGAAGAGGAAGCTGGGACCACTAATCACACCACAGCCAACAAAGGTTAACAAAAAAAGTGACAAGATCAACCTCATTTTGAGGGGAATGGTAATTGTGAAAGCAGTGCTAATGACAGACTGTAGTATGAACAGAGATCAATCAACTGAGAGCCTGCTGCAACAGTCCATAAGAAACATGGTGAAAGACAGTGGTGCTGGAGGTATGTAGCCAGGTATTTTTGAAGTAAAATTCATATTTGGGGACTAACTGAAAACAGAGTTCAGAGAGAAGTAGTAGTGAAGGAAGACTAGAGAACTAGTCATTTAGTCCATGGTAGTGGCATAACTAGTTTGTTGCATTGGTATTTATCATATATAGAGTTTTAGAATTATCAGTTAAATTGGAAAAGTTCTCCTTGATTATTCTTTCATAATTCCATACATGATGATGTACTAATTTAGATGATGATCTTGAGCAGAAGACTAAGTATGGGAGTCAAATTACTTTTTAACTAGAGAACTAGAGGGGAACTGGGTAAATGGGGGAATCCTTAACTAATATCCACAATACAAAGGGGAAAGCAATCATAAGGTAGTTTAGAAGTATAACTGGAATTTTATAGGTCATTTTTTTTCTTGTTGTTAAATTCAATGATCAGAATTGGAGAGCTTTTTCAAAACGTACACACCCAGGTCTCATGCCCCGAGATTCATTAAGTCTGAGGTGAGGGCCAAGTATTAGGGGGAAAAAAAAAACTCTATAGATGCCTCTGATACACAACCCTGATTAAGACCACTGCTATAAGCACACGCTGATTATAAAGTTCATTTGGAAAACCAAACCAGAAAATCATGAAAAAGAAGAGCATTCAGGCTGGGCTACTTGTATCAGATATTAAAACATATTATAAAACCTTATTAACAGGCAGTATTGGCATATGAATAGACAAACTAATAGAAGACAATAGGAAATTGAGAAATTGACCCAAG